CAACAATGATTGAATCAGTGTTCAATATGTGTTGAGTAGCGAGCTGTTTTTTAATACTGAGCAAAAAGAAGCTTTGATGCATAAAATGGGTAAACACAGCATAATATGTCATGTGACCTATATTTATGCTAATAACATGCAAATAGCAAGAAATGTTGTTTTTTGAACAAAAATTAATTTCTACTTATTATTGTCTACTAATAGTCAGTACATTTATTTTTGCTTAAAACTTATATTCGATGTAGGGGAGATACAGTGAAAATAAATCCAGCGAATATACTTGTTTTCCTCTACCATATTACATTCAACTCGTCAAAAAGTAGTAAAATTAAATTCCATACAAAACACCCAAAAGACTTTTCAGGGAAAATTAATTCCATTTCCATTTAGTTCAGTATTACTGCATTTGCTCTATTAGTGGAGCATGCACTCACAACAGAAGTGTGTAATAAGTTATATTTTCATGATTCAGTATACAATAATATTTGGTTTATGTGTGCTTTTGTTGGAGATGCGCTTTTAATAGAGCAAATACGGTAGATGATGTAAAAAATGTGACAATGATCTTTGTTTGCAGTAGGTGTAAAAAAAATGCATCAACATTATATTACTGATACTCTAAGAAACGATGCAATATGATTTTATAGTGAAATTTGTAAACAGATTTGCACCAAAATGTGACAGGAAGACATCGGGCAGTGAATCTTTCCTAATTGTATATAATATACCTTTCATAATTGTTACTCGAAAGAAATGTGAATCAAAAGATTCATTTTGAATGTGGACATTTGGATGAATACAAAACTAATTAGAGTCAAGGAACTCCAGCTATCTTCTCCTTTCTTGTTTTTGTGTTCTTTTCTTCTCTTTGTCTTTGCGGTCAATGACTTTCTGTTTATCTTTTTCTCTCTGTAGCTTGTCTCGTTCCTTTTTTTTCTCATGTTCCATTTTGGATTTCTCGCGTTTAGCCTTCTCTGCATCTTTAATGTCATCTTTGTTGGTGTTTTTAAAGATGGAGGCTAGAGACATCATTAAGGAGTAAATATTATTATACATCTGTCACCGTAACGCCATAAGTTACAGCGTGCCGTAATTTTGCGGTATTGCACTGGGTATTTTCATTCTACAATATTATGAAATGCGATTTTCAAATGTGAGGCAATTACGCATGTGAGCGGTCTCTAATAAAAAAAACAAAAATGGCAGCCCCCAGAGTTTGACTGGACTCCACACGAAGAAGATTGCTAAATCTGTCGTAAACCTTCGTGATTTTGGCATTCCCATGATGTATCCCTGGGAGGAAAAGATGTATAATAATAAGGTTATTACGAGGATACCACAACGTATGCACTCAGACAGTACATCGTCACTAATGTTATGTATGAGCATGTCAATGGCCGTGCAGTTACAGATGTGCTTTTTAATGACTGGCAGAATATTATGCTATTTTGGTAATAACTTTTCAAAATATAATTTCAGTTGTTATCCAGAATGAAATGATATCACCGTGATAAAAACAGTACCATCACTGTTTAACCATGCATACCAAGTATTAAAGCAAACGAGCTGCAAACTTTCAAGAAGAAGTCAAAAATAAATATCAATATACATATTTTTTGGTCGAAAATATTGGCCAAAAATGGAAAATTAAAGATACCATCGAATGAGTCATTTACCTGTTAACTAATACATCTGTTATAAATGGCAGGAATGCGCAAGGGCAGAACTCTACAACAGACAGGGCGTGGTTTCAGTTTTTTGGGGAGACCACACTTCAATTCATTTCACTCCTATTACTGTAACGAGTATATCACTATCAGTTGATAATGCATGATAAGGTAGAAGAGTATGTGATAGTCCAAGTATGTATCACCAACATGAGATGAAACACAGTAACCATGGTGACTGATCAGACAGATAGTTAAAAGGATACAATTATTTTCCTTCAGATAGGCACAGTCTTCTACTGAATCTTCTACAGTGAGCAATAGTTAAAGACAATCACATTTGACAATTTTTTAAGTAATTTCATAATGTGTTTTTAATGATATCAATATGATGTATTAATATTTATGGAGTGTATCCTAAACCGCATGTATTTGTATATTTTCAGTTAAAACCACTGAGATTTTGTCATTGAGATCGCTCTGGATGTTGTAAGGTTAAAACAACTGATTACCTACTTTGCTTTAAAACATTGTCAACTACAGTGTAAAATTAGAACTGATTAGCAACTTTGTTTCAAAAAAATTTAAATTACTAACAGACTCTGTTTACAGTCCTGACATATTTACGCATAGAAGTAATGTGAATACATCTAGACTGTAAACAAAAGTCTGCAAGAATTATCTTAATTTTGTTTTTTATTTCTGTTAATTGCACAATAGCTCAGAGAAAATAATCAAAGAAAGCTTAGAAAGAACTCCTGTGTGCTGAGAGTATTGAAGACACATTAAAAATTAATTCAAAATTACTTGTACTTGAGATATTGATGGAATAGCTGAAAACTAATTATGTAAATCAGGTAACTGATATAAACAGATTTAAGTGTAAAACTAATAAGGTTTGCACAATGAACCAAGTTTCATTGAAATGTGATTAGAACCCAAAAAATATTAATTATTATGCTAATTAGAGAGTTAGTATGAACAGATTTTAACCCCAAATTAATCAGGCTGTCTATTGTCCTAGAGCATTTATGTACCAAGTTTTATTCAAATGTGATGATCAATACTTGAGATATCAGTATTAATTAATTATGTTAATTAAGTGATTAAGAAGCATACATATTTACCAAAAACTAATATGGTGTATAGTCCTATGTTCATTGAAATGTGATGGGTACTCTTTAAAAGTTTCATTGAAATCCAATGAGTGGTTTGTAGACATCAATACAACAGCCATAGAACAGCAAAAAAATTAACTAATTATGCAAATTAGTAATTAATAGCACAATTATTTATTCCAAATTAATTAGTTTCTGCATAGTCCTAGAAAATGTCGCAAGTCTCATTGAAATGTGATGATAGTACTTGAGATATCAGTGAAAAGCTGAA